CCCCAAAAAAAACGTCAAAGCAGGGCACTATAATGCCCATCCCCCAAAACAGGAAACCCCCCTACAACAACTAAGAAACATGTTCCTAGTTGCATTAACCCATTCCTGGGGGCCGTATAATAGAACGAAATGTTTCTAATTTTGCGTGCGCTTTTTTCCCTTAAATGCCTAGCAAGGGGGGAACTTACGCCTGACAACCAGGGGAGTTCCTAAAAGGGATGCAAACTAATTCCATAGAAGCAACCCGGGTTTGAGGGTAGTTCCTTCTAAAGCCAGACAACCCAAGGTGAGGGGAGTTCCTTACTAAGACTAGACAACCAGGTGAGGGGGAGTTCCTACTAGCTAAAATAGGAGCCAAACCAGGTGAGGGAGTTCCTACTAAGACCTAGACAACCAGGTGAGGGGGAGTTCCTTACTAAGACCTAGACAACCAGGGGGGGAGGTTCCTTACTAAGACCTAGACAACCAGGTGAGGGGAGTTCCTTACTAAGACCTAGACAAACCAGGTGAGGGGGAGTTCCTTACTAAGACCTAGCAACCAGGTGAGGGGAGTTCCTTACTAAGACCTAGACAACCAGGTGAGGGGAGTTCCTTACTAAGACCTAGACAACCAGGTGAGGGGAGTTCCTTACTAATTAGTGACCTTAATTCATCAACCTAGTAAAAGGGAAAACACGCAGGCAGACAAGGTCCTCCGTGGAATGAGTTTGACACGCACTCTAAGGAATGTTAAACGGATCGAAAGGGATGGGTAGATATCAAAATGAATGTAGCCTGCTGAATGGATAGAACAGACATACATTACAACAGGCTAATCATAACTCTAATTAGTACAAAAAGGATTGCAACTGACAGTGTTTAATCTGAAAAGGAACAACAACGCTAGGGGGGGGAGTCAGGGGGGAGGAGGGGAGAGAGGAGAAGTATTTGGGGAGGAGGCAGGAAAACATAGGAGCGGAGACATAGGAGAAAAGAGAAAGAAAGGGGAGGAAAAGGGGAAGAGGAGACAGGGGGAAAGGGGAGAAAAGGGAAAGAGGAGACAGAGGAAGGGGAACGAGGAAAAGGGGAAAAGAAAAAACCAAGGCCAAAAGATTAAGCAGAGGGGGTAACACCAACAATAATCCAAAAAGGCAAAAACAGTAAGGGCCCCTTCTCTCCCCAAAAAAGAGGTTTATCTTGGGGAAAGGGGAGAAGGGGGG